CAAAGAGAGACCCTGGAGTATGACTTAGAAATCCAGAGAGAAAGAGGAACAAGGCAATGCCTGGGTAGATCTAACATTTGAAGCAGTGTCCAAGCGGACTTCTTAAGAATCACTCCCACATGACTGCTGCAGATGGAAAACATCAGTAGGAGGTGCCCAGGTGTTTCTGAGACGTGCAGAAACTTCAGCAAGCTCTTGAGAATCACTAGCCTCCTTACAAGGTTTGGATTCTGGGTGGGGTCCTCCCTGACTGGACCAGCCTCCTGCTCATTCCTTACACTAAACCCCCTCATCATGTGAATCCATAGTGGGTCTTCTATTTTCCCTATCTGAATTCAGAGTGATGTGATAGTATCTTCCGTTTTGGTTTTTCAAACGGTCTCTGTTCTTGAATTTGTAGATTTGTAATTTAAAATAAGGGAGAGAAAGAGAGTAACAGACAATTCTTTTGACAGAAGAGGTAAGGTCGCTATACTTCACTGCAGTCTTAGCAAAGGCTGTAGAAATTCACCCCGGGCAGTGGACATTTCCAGGCCATTTCTCTGCCTGTACTTCCTTCTTCCATCTAGCACAATGCCAGAGTCAGTCCTGCATTTGCTTCATATGTCCTATGTCAAGGACAAATGTCAGGGATGGTCTGGGAATCAAGGACACAGAAATCTGTGTGTTTGTTTTTTATCTTGCCTCTGTCACCAAGTGACTAAGTCTCCCCCAGCAATTCTTGATGCTTTCCTCTGTTAAATGGAAATAGTAATACCTACCCTCCCTCCTTTATATGGTTGTCTTGAGGATGATATGGTCAACTCACTAAATAGAAATGTTCTCCCCAAAAGATGCAGTGGTTTACTTAAATGCAAATCCCATTTCTAATAGGTACCAGATAAAGAGTGGCAATACCTGATATGCAGGTATATGTTCTATGCACATAACATATATATATATTTTTTAAAGATTTTATTTATTTATTTGACAGAGAGATCACAAGCAGGCAGAGAGGCAGGCAGAGAGAGGGGAGGAAGCAGGCTCCCCTAGAGAGCAGAGAGCCCGATGCGGGGCTCGATCCCAGGACTCTGAGATCGTGACCTGAGCCGAAGGCAGCGGCTTAACCCACTGAGCCACCCAGGCGCCCCTATGCACATAACATATTTAAAGAAACATTTCTCCAATAAACACTCCAATGCTCCTTCTAATGTGGATACCCAGAGGATATAGTAAGCAGACCACCACTAGGTAATAACTGAGATTCCTGACACAGCCCCATGGCCCCAGTAGACTTCAAAGACATGTTTAGACCTAGAGCAGAATTCTCAGAGAGATTTCAGGTGCACCATTCTAAAACCACATCTATACCACTGCCTGCACCTTATGGCAGAGTCCAGCCCTTTCTTTGAGAGCTGTTACAAGTAAAATAATCCCCTTAGTTGCTTCAATTCATCCTATTTCTTTCCTACCATCAAAACACCAGAGTTTAAAAATTATGACATTATGACATCAAAATTATTATCTACTTGGAAATTATACAATGTGGCTAAATGCCGTCGGACAATGAATCAATACATATGGGCCCAACCATGGTAATTGGGGTTTATGAAAGCAATAGGGTTGAGGTCTGAGGTCCACAGGGCTGGCCTTTCCTTCCCCTATCACTCAATCCCAAAGGAAGATGGGTCTCCTTTCTCAGACACAATTAAATTATCTTACAGAGGCATCTAAATTACTGACTTTTCCCTGGGCTTCTACCATTCATCCTTTACTGAACAAATATTTCTTGAGCTCCTAAAAAGCAGGAGGCCCTGTGCCAGGCATTGCAGGTATAGTGGTGAGCAAACAGATACACTATCTTCCATTGTCTCCAATAGCTTACAGCCTGTCCAGGAAGACACTGGAAAATAAAGCCTGAAAAATGAACACTGACCTAATATAAATGTGTGGGGTGGGATCAGAAAAGTATCCCTTACAGCTGTGATAGTTAGGCTGATGCCTGAAGGACACACAGGAGTCAGTGATGTGCAAGAGAAGAAAGATGAGACTCTTTACTCCCTTTAGGGAGCTTTCACTTATGACGAGTTCAAGACCTACGAATACTTGACCTCTTTCACACAAAGCAGAATATAAAAAATTGCACTAAGGAGATAGAAACACATATTAGAAGCACCTCAGGAAGGGGACAAATCAATATGGAAAAAAATTCATACAAGAAGTCAAAAAGTATTGTGTATTATTCTCCCTACAATGCATGGGTTAACTGTAAATTATGGATGGAAAAACAAGAGTCTCCCATTTCCTGATAATTATTCTGGGCCCAGATTTCCTTTGCATTTGAATCTACAGTCCTTAAGACATGAATCTTGGGTCTATCATACTCGACATTGGAAGTAACATAAAAGGACAAGTAAAGGGAAAATGGCATGTATAGAAAAATAGCAATTTGCACATGAACTACTGCCCACTGGTTTATGTAGTTGTTGGTGCGGAATAAAAAGAGATTGGGAACTGGATGAATCAAAAAATTATTTGCAAATAGAACTTCCACTTAAGATTTTTTTAGACCACGTTTCAGACATCATGGAGGATTTCACTTGGGCAAGAACTGATGTAATTTGCCTTCACAATGTGAAAGAGCCTCTCTGGATAAGCATTTGTAAGCACTTTCCATAAAGGTATTGATAAATGATAGTCAAATAGTTTGGTGACTTATACGATCAAAAATTTAGAATAATTTCTCTAACTTTAATATAAAAAACAAGGTGGTAATGGGGCACCCAGGTGGCTCAGTCAGTTGAACGTCCAACTCTTGGTTTCAACTCAGGTCTTATCTCATGGATCGTGAGATGGAGCCTGCATTGGGTTCTGAACTCAGTTGAAGATTTTCTCCCTCTGTCCCTCTCCCCACTAATGTGCACTCTTTCTTTCTCTCTCTAAAATAAATATATACATCTTTAAAAAAAAAAAAGTAAGGTGGCATTAAGCAGTTTCATTCTGGATGCCTAAAAATTGGGCTTTCCCCACTTGCTATCATATGGTTCATGCCAAGCTAAAAAGATCAGTGTCGTCTCTTCCCTACATGGATCAGTCCTATAATAATTCAACCTAAATGAACTTCTTTGGCTCTCTCTTTAGTGATGTCCGCATGACCACAGGCCCAAAGACCTATCTATCATTTCATGATGCTGACTTGCCTTTTTTCACTCTCAGGTCCTTAGCGTTGATCAAGCAACCAGAGCATCAAATTTATAGGTGCATTTCTCAGTAAAATTGAGATATCTGTTGCTGGGTCTTTTCAACAGCAATGTTCCCATTGATACTGGGTTCTGATGTCATTGAACGGCACTTGTTTTAATTCCAAACCCTTGACCATTTTTTCATATTCCAAATATTCTCAACATATCTTCAAAACTTATATTCTTAAATTCCATTACTCTAAGATTCAGATTTCTTATTTTACCATTACATTGACAAATGATCTTCGTCCTATTATGGAGGCTTATCATTGATCTGATCATGTCCTTCTGTTGTGAAATCTCAATTTCATGGCTAGATCAACTTTTATAAGTAGGCTTAAGGGTTCTGAGCCTTCAGTTCCTTTGTAGTATATTGAATGGGTTATAGATTAAAAATACCTTTATTCAAATATAAGAAACCACTAAATAAATCCATGAGGATATAACACTGGATTGAATTTGTTATTCTGTCTAGATGTGGTATTATTATTTACCTAGGGGTACTCCCCTCCCCTCTCAAAAAAAAATCTCTACAGGAATATGTTTGATACTTCCATAAGGACATTCAGTGAAGGAGATCTATACATGCCCCTCAAAATATAGCACGTTAGCAGCTAATCGTTCTACCTGCCTTTGAGCAAAGTTGATTTTCACAAAACTGACCCTTAATGAACAGAATCATAATTGAACCAAAATATATGTAAACACAGAAAAGTTCTACTGTGCTGAGACATCAAATAGGCAACTGTGATGTCCAAATCACAGACATCTGGAATCCTGCATCATACTCTTGATTATTTCCTGCAAAACAGGAGTGTGCCGTTTGCCCAGAGCCCACAGGTCTTCTCTGAGCGCTAACTTCATCACTTTCTGAGCCTCTCTACAGCCTTTGTTTCTACCCACCCAGCCTACAACGTAGTTGGCATGACAGACCTGGGACAGTACTTCCTCTGTGTTCCCTAAATGTATGAGGGGAATTTCCTGCTTGTGGAAATACTATTTAAGTATGGAATGCCCTCAAATGAAGCCTGTTCTTACCATTAGAGGGTAGATTCACAATTAAGAAACATGGCTGTCGTCATAACGGGATAAAATAAACAAGTTATACTGTATGGCTCTACCTGTCCGTCTAGTTCCAACAAAGGTGACCATACAGTCCTTGGTCTAAGCAACCAGCTTAGGAAAAAGGCAGTTTTAAATTATATTCCATGCAAACTCTAGAGATGACAATAGGAATTCAAGGCTTTGGAAACACTGAGCAAACCAAATTAATATTTTGGAGATCAGATAATTTAAGGAAAACTGTGCACTGACCCTCTTCAATGTTGCTAGGCAAACTGGAATTCTTTTTAGCTGTAATGTAGAGTTCATTCATTTTGAAATTACAGATTTCAACTATACTACTCCCCAAACAATGATACTTTTTACAAATATTAGTGAGTTTCCCAATTGTCTCCATCACTTTTACTGTAGGTAATGATCTACTTAGCAATTTTTAAGTACTATAATCTCTTTACTTAAAGCAAAAAAAGAAAAAAAATCAAATCATAAAATAATATTATAGCATGGATTTATTTGCCTTCCCAGTAGACCACCACTAAATTCTGTTTAATATGAGTTAAAATCGCTAGGCTTGACAGGTATGGTTTTCTCATCAAGGACTTGAAAAGCACTGTGTTCCTTCTAAAGTGCCAAGACAGCAATAATGAGCCCAGAGTTCTGCATAGCCAAGTGTCCCTCCCTGCAACCACTAAGAGCAATAAAAAGCCAAGTTCCTACCTCGGTGATTGGTGAGATCTCTCGAAGCAGCAGGCAGGGGTGTATAGTGGTTCTCTGGAGAAGCTGTGATGCGGTCGCTGGAAGCCTGTGTAATAAAAGAAAATGTCAACATGAAGTAACACCAAACGCTAAATGTCTTTATTTACCAAACATGCCTCCTAGGGATCTGGGCCTGGAAGAAATATTATCAACCAAGGCTCTCCTTTGGAAGCAGGAGTTGTCTGTGCAGAGATAATGTTCTGGCAAGAGTAGGGTGGCATCCAAATCTTCAAGAAGCCTTGTTACAGGTGGAAGGGCCCTGAGACAAGGGGACCATTTATTTCATGAACCGAAAGGAGGAAGAAAAGGAAAAGGCCAGAAATGGTATAGAGTTTTAGGGTTCTGTCACAGGCTTTCTTCCAGTACTTCTCACGATTAAATGTTAACGACAAGTGGATTTCTCTGGAAACCAGGGAGGACGCTGAGCTTTGTCCTAGGGTGGACGGGGAAAAACAGGGCTGGTTTGTGTGGGCCCCGTCACACAGAGACACATAGAAGCTGAGGGCTCAAGCAGTAGAAAGGGACCATCCTGAAGGATATAAACCACTGTGTATCTTGCAGTTGGGGTTCTGGCTAAGCTTAACCACGACATTGAAAAATTCATCTAAAATTTGGGATGTAGTGGTTATCAATAAAATTTTGCCATTCCAACACCTCAAAGAAAATGATATGAAATATACCTTGAAGATGATTTTTTATTGTACGCAAACAGCTCTTTAACCATCAAACTATATACAGTGTGACCCGTATGTATAAGTGGTGCTATCTTTCTTTCTCCTCAGCTCTACAGCCATGGGGGATGAGGCCAGGAACAAAGGACTACAGCTATGGGGTCAGTTATCTCTCAGAAACAATGACCAGTCTGTCACATTCAGAGTGTGGCTGCTTATAGCAAAAAGCATCACCACTGCAATTCTTACTGAGACTTCTGAATCAAATACTATTTTTTTTTAAATATCCAAAAAAGAACATCTGCTAGGATCAAAATCCTAAGCTTACAACCTTTCCAAGCTTCAAGAAAAAGTAAATTTCATTAATGCTACATTTTTCTTTCTGGAATAGGAAATACATTCTATGGGATATATTTGCCCTGCTAGGAGCAGGCCTTTTTCTCCAAAGAGATTATCTACATTAGAGGAATCAAAACTAAGTAGGAGATTAAACCTACTTGCTAGAAAAACCCTTTAAACCCTGCGTCTGACATTTGAGATGTTTGATTAAGCAGCTTTCACTGGAGACTTACAAAAAGAGTTCTGAATGGGGCAGAGTCAGAAGCTCTGTCCCTAAGGTGGAGACAGACTTCAGGTAGCATTACTTCACTCCAGCTCCAAGGGAAATATGTGGTGTTTAAAGCTTGATCCAAGGGTATTGGGTCCAGAAAGATAAAAGTTCAGTCACTAAGAAAATTGTTTTAAAAAAGTAGACAAGACTTGCTAGATACTACACCATCAGATATTTAGGATGCTGCAAGAACATAATAGAGTCAGAAATTAGATTAAATTTCAAATACTAAATTCACCACACGTCCCTCCATTTGGCAGTTAGGGTCTCCTGTAATCTCCACGTTATAAATGAGACACAGTGACAGTGTTCTAAATATGGCACCTAGTCAATGCTTCTGGCAGGATATATGGGGCAAAGTAATAGGGGCTGTCCTTCCACAGATCTACCATTCTTCCTTAGTAGAAGGCCATAGTTTCTCTCTCTGTCAGTGTTTCTATTCCACCTCAATGCTAAAAAGGCCTACGATTCCAGTATGAGTTTTAGGTTGCTATATTGTGATATTTCTTAGTGCATTTAATCTCAATTTGGGCTGTTGACAATTTGATGACAGCTTTTCCTAAAATTACTGGAAGAAACTACCTTTCAGCAAATACCTCTGACTGGGCAAAACATTAGAGCTTTATAACCAAGAGTAAAATAGCTATTTACTTTTATTTCCAGTGGTAGTCAAAGCAAAACTGGTATGGCTCGAGTTCTGTTTCGCAGTCATCATTCTATGCCTAGCGTTTAATTACTTTTCTGCTCAGTGTCCATTTATAAACTTGAATCATGGAAACAAATCCAGGAAAAGAACAATTCTGCAAAGGGTGCCTTTCAGTTGGAACTTCTATGGCTGGATGTTTAGGGAAACTACTACAAATTAAGATTCTAACTATTAGTTCTTTGACTTGGTTCTTATCAAAATGAAGTCCATGTGATCTTTTCAATTTGTTCCCTGAATATTATGCTTGCAGGCACAATTAAGAAAAGCATGATTATCATATGGAACAAATGGACAAGGCAATGTCTTCAACTTGCACACTACTTGCCCCCAAATAAAGAACTTCCTTGGAACTCCAGTGCCACAATTGGTAGGCATGCATTACTAATACAACAGCGTGAGCAGGGCAAAATAAAGAACTTCTCTTGAATATGAAGCAACATACCCATAGTATATCAAGTATGAGATGATAGAAATATAACTGGAAAAACTTAAAACATGTTTTCTTTTACCTGGATTAAGACAATATACCTAAAATGGGAATAGGGAAATTTGGGTAAATCTGAATCTTTAGAACCACAAATCCTTTCAGATCCTTGAGTCCTTGCCAAATCTCCTAACTATCTATGGCAGAGAATTATACTTTTACATTGTACTTTTTAAATCACTCCTGTCCGAAGATATTTGTAACGTCTACAATAAAATATTAGCATCCAGAATATGTATGTCCCTAAATAATTAAAAATACAATAGAAAAATGGACAATGGAAGTGTCAGGAAATCCAAAGGAGAGAAAACCCGAGTGGTCAATGAATGAAAGAGAAGATGGTCAAATTCACTAGTCTGAAGAGCAATGCATATTAAAACAAGACACAATTTTTCCGCTTGCCATATTGGCAAACTTTCAAGTCTTGTAACAAGCGCCAAGGAGAATAAAGAGAAAGAACTTTTATCCTCTTGTTCCTTGCCATCGGGAATGGAGACTCGTTCAACTACTTTGGAGAGTAATTTAGCAATATCTAATAAAATTGAAAATCGGTACAGCAACTCCATTTCAAAAGTATACACTAAAAATTTCACTCAGGTCTATGAAGTAGAACATAAAACAGGGTTTATTGCATGATTATTTAGAACAGAATAAATTGGAAGTAGTTCAAATGCCTGTCAATGAGAAAATGGATAAATAAAATGTTATAAATTCATATGACAGAATAATATTTAGCATTTAAAAGTAATAAACCTGATTTAGGTATCTCAACTTGAATAGGTCTAAAATTTTAATACAGAGTGAAAATACAAGTTGCAAAATGATAAATGTGGTATAATATTTATATATGTGTAGTTCTTTGACATCATGTTTGTATGGAAACATCTAAAAATTATACAAGTTAAACACTATATTCATGAAAATGGTTGTCTCTGCCAGAAGACAGAGTAATAGGACCGGGACTAACAGGGTGGGAGGACCTTCAAGTATATATAAAAGATTTATTTATTTTATTTAAAGACAAGGCTTAGAAACAAATATGTCAAAATATTAGAAAATACAAATTCTGTCCCTTGCCATTGGCAAGGTAATTACGTGTTCATTATTTTTCAACTTTTCCGCATTTTTGAAATTTCTCAAAATTAAACAAAAAAATTGAAAAAGAAAAACAAGATTCCTGTGTCCTCTCTGATCCATACTATCCTATATTTATATGAACCCATAAGAAGAGGAAATTTCTTCTAACGACTTCTCAGCACTTGCACAGCATGGATTAAGGCCACTTATGGTTGTTTTTTTGCAATGAAATATCCCATTTCTGTTTTTCCTAAGGCTGCTGAGTGTGACAATAGATTGGAAAAAGCTGCTAAATAATAGTAAATATGTTATCCCCTTCACACCAAGGCTTGAAATGCTCATGCCAGCCTGGTAAGTCCTTCTGCCTAAGATTTGTCAAAGTATACTAAAGATTTCTGTCCTCTTTCCCTACTCACAATTAGGGAGTTCCTGATAATTTTTTAAACTCACATCAGTAATGATAATAGTCATGAATATACTGCACACTGCAATTTCCATAATGCAGGAAGGAAGGGAGAACTTTGGCAACCTCACTGGAAAAGAGTCAATGGAAGTATAGTACACTCCATAAGAGACTTGCAAAGTGAGAATTTCACTCAGTGGTTGCAGGAAACAAATGTCTTCAGAGGAGTATGTAAAATTCAAGTCCCTTCCCCCTGAGTGCATTCCATGGAAACCTGCATTCCAGTGGATATTTCTGAACATCATGGATGCCCTGAAGGAATATGATACAGACCACAGGAGGAGCGATTTGGCAGGCTTCAAAACAAGAAGGGGGCAGCTACAAAGTTGTTTAATAGCCATAAATCTCTTACTATTTTTCGCAAAATACCATCTAAGACCACATCTCTACAACTCATTCCCCATTACTCAGCTCAAGTGGAGTGCTTTGGCATGCTCACTCACCCTTAAATCATACACAGCATAAAGTGATCCTGGGTCTGGGAAATTTGTCAGCCTCCTTCAAGTAAAAGCAATCTTCACTTTTCATCACAACTCATTCCCTGAAACTGTGGTATAAAGCTGACTCTTCTAAAAACATTTATTTTCTTTCATAAGAAAAAGCATCACTCATTTAGTTATCATGTATTTAATAACCACCTACTATATGCCAAGCCCTGTGCTGAGAATACCAAGAAAAATAAAATGAAGGCTTTGGTTGCATTCCTGACCCATCAAAAAAAGAAAAAATAAAGGATAACCATGATTAATACTACTTATTAAGAGTCACCGACTGGTAGCATGACCCCCCATACTCTGTATTATCATGGAAATTTGTCCCTGACCACTATCATGACACATGAAGACATGAAACAGTGATTATGTTCTTGTTTGTTTCTTATTCATCCTAAGAGAGAGCTTTCAAGATTAACTGTATTAACTTTCCAAGATTAACTATACTATTAACCCTTGTACCCAACATGCTGCCAGAAATATAGGAAGAAGTCAGTGCATGGTGACTGAATGAATAAAAAATTTTAATGTCAAAGATAAAATG